ACTCAGAGTGGGAACGCTTGCTGATCACAGTTTCATTTGTGTGCGAACTTGTTGATAGTCTACTGGGAGCAGGTACTTGTATATATTCAGAATGATTATCGTTGGAAAAAATTTTTTGTTGATTTGGCTCGGAGGATGAAAGAGCACGTGAAGTGTCAGTGACACTGTCCCCACCTTGAACGTTTGAACATGATTTGGCTAGGTGTCCCTCTCTTTTACATGCGTAGCAAATGACAGTATCCTGAGAGAAATAAATCCAGTAATTTGTGTTGTCGTAATTTATTGATACACGCTCAGGTAGCTCGGAAACGTCGTCAGCGCGCACATATGCTTGTCTGTGGAAGCTAAGTATATGTGAAAATCCTGCATCGTTCAGTCCAGCTCTAATGAACGAAATTGACGACGTTAGGTGTATGTGATTTTTTAGAAAAAGGTTTTCCAAAAAACTGTGTGGAACGATGGGAGGCACGTTTGAGATGATTATTCTCTTATGAGGAGAGATGAGAGGCCTCATTTTAATCACATTGTTGAAGATGATGAGTTGCTTGTGAGTCGTGGTGAGCTGATTGGCGATTCGGGAAGACGATAGGTAAACACAGATTCTGTTGTTGGAGATTCTAGAGATGAACTTGATGGACGAAGGCATGACAAGGTCAGCTATGGCTTTGGCATACTCTTTAATAAGTAATCCTTCCACGCTGTCGCAGATTATGGCTTGATCTTTGGTTGGAAAATGATCAGTTGAAGCGGCATCGGAGTAAGTTTTTGACGTTGGAGTTGACATGGTGAGAGAGTAACAAAGTAGGATCCTCTGTAGACAGAAGCCGACTCTTGAGATACACAAAAAAGAAGAAAGAGAGTAGCAGAGCATTAGTTGGAGCAGTAAGCTTCAAAAAATAGGCACGTTAATGTTATATTACACCAATCGTATATCTTAGAGAACGCTCAAACTAAGGTAAGCAGGGGCTTGAGAGCCCAAATATACACGTCCAAACGCTTCGAAGGAACAAACGAGACCCTAAAATAGTTTTCGTAACAATTCAGACAAGAATAATCACTATCGTTGCTTTCTTTACTTGGTCGGAGTACTTTTTTAGAAACACTTTTCTTTCATTTTTTATCAATGTTCTTCTTTTGCTTTCAACTTTTTAGTCCACTCGTAATGCGTTTTTCTCGCAGGTGTCTGTTACATAAAATAACAGGTTTTCTTTTTCTTCTGTTAAGTTTGATAGCTTTTCTGGAGCTTTCCTTTGAACATGATCGAACAATCTTCCGGGGGCTAACGTTACGCTTACTCTTAGCAGCTACAATCTTATTCAACTTCAGCACAGTAGACACTATTGTCTCATCCGTATTTCAAATGTTTGACTCACTAAATCCATGTTTGTCTATCACTCCAGCCAATTTATCAAAAAAAAATATTGACAATCTGACCATTAAATGATTTTTTCCTAGCAAGTCAAAGTCCCTTTTAAGATTAAGAGTACTCGTATAATAAAATCTGCAATGAAAATTATATCAAGTAATCCAGGTACTCAATCACAGAGACCTCGAGAACTTGCCCACTTGCCCATGCCTGTTTTATACACATCAAAAGTACAAGAAATTTATAATAGTATAACAAATAACATTTAACCATTACACACGAAATATTATTTTACTTTTTGGTCAATGTGCGCGTGTACCCTATCTCAAAAACTTCTATAATGTTGAATTATTGGTATTCAAAAAATACGAATATTTTATTGTCCAATTTTTAACACAATTCTCATGGAGAATTATTACATATAATAATTCCATCTATCTACGCTTTGAAAAAAATTGGGCCAAGCCGTTGGAATTCTAATCATAAAACAAGTTGTTATTCTTAATAATTAAACAATAGCTAACAATAGGTAACTAAATTTTTTCTAATTATCAGAGATTTAGAAGATGAACGAAATTTTATAATTTTTTTTTGCATTCTATCTACAATCATAAGATGTATATTGTCTTAATTAGAACAATGATCTATTTTCAATAAATAAAGCCTGATGGGATTTGATGATTTGAGAAATTTTCTGTTTCTGAGGAAACTAAATTTAACTCTTTTATTATCATTTGAATCTAAGCTTTGCACAGATTTTTATTGATATCCGAAGATATGGGTTTTGTTTAGATTCTAATTAATTGTATGATCATTACTGTAATTATATTCTATAAAGATCGACAAAATATTATTATGAATAACTTTATTCGATTAAACGATTGTATATTGGCCATAACAATAGCGATTCGTTGTAAGCAAAAAAAAAACAAAATGATGGCGAAATTACGAATATCAATAAATGGAAAATATATCGTCGAAATACCAAGTGTACTTAGACGTATTTTATTTCCATAAATGTCTTAAGCATTCAGATATAAAGTAAATTCTCTAAACTTTGGAATTTAAAGGTGGATTGGTCATCAATATGGACCTTGTGGATATTCCAATACTATCTTTTTAAATTTTCAGGATCTCAGCAGTATCTTGAAGCTATGAATAGTAGCCAATACTCAAAATGGGGGCAGGTTGATGGTTTTCACCATGACAAACAAAATGTTCATAGCGGTCAGGCCAACTCCCACTGGGAAGTATACACGCATTTGAAACGTATGCTGAAAAATGATCAACACGGTTCGACAACACACTTTCTGAAGCATATGTTTTTGAAAGTGCATTGTCTTGATATTGTTCTAACAATTTACAAGCATTTTTACAAAGATTTAAATTAATTTTGTTTAAATAATTACAACAATTATTTTCATCTCACTTTTTTTTTATTAATTAAAAATTAGTTTTTGTTTTAAAAATCAGTACTGCTTTTTTTTTAAATACAGGAAATAATAAAATAAAATTATCAAATACTTTCATATTTTATACATAACGATTGTGAAAAATAATTATTGAATAAAATAAAACCATCATTCCAAGAAATATAAATCAATAATATAAATAATATCATTTATTTTATTATTAACAGATAATACAGAATTTTATTTAGTTATATTATTAATGTTTTTAATACTGTTATATTTCTCCGAATAATAGTTAAACATTTTGAAAATACTACAATTATTTAAACGATCCAAATGAAAGTTCATTTTAATTCTTTCTAAAATTCTGGCTGAATGATATCCGATAGTTAACAAAATAAGAAGAAACTATTTGTGTTGGAAAACAACGATATTAGTTGCATGAGTATGAACACATTTATACAGATACCTACTCCGGTATTATCACATATCATACAGAGAGTTTATATATTTTCAACTCCATTTACTTTTAACTAGCTTATTTCAAGAATATTGAAACTGTTAGTTTACTTAATTTTCTGTTAATATTCTTATTATTACTATTAATATTTATAATTATTAGTTAATTGCCATTTAGTTTAAAAATTTTTTAGTTGAAAATATATGAGTTGAACGAGAATCTTGTACGATTATAAGGATCACAATTACATTACACTGTTAAAAGAATATATTTGGTGGGACTAAATGAATTCATTAAAATTATTTTTCAGCATTTATTTAATACAAATAAATATTGATTTGTAGGTAATAAATCTTCTCTGCTTAGCTGTCTGATATTATTATATTTATAAAACCATTAAAAATTCATACGAAATTAAATGGATATAATGTAATTGCTTGTCGAACTATTGTTTAAAAGAAAATATTAATTTTAATCATTACGAAACCGTTATTCTTTATTTAAAAATTTTCAATAAATAAAAGTTATTTCATCATATAACCTAACATTTGATTATGCTTCGCCGTTATTCTACCTTACTATCGAGCCTAATCATAGTATTTAGATGAAAAATAAATATTTGTCAGCAGCTAAGAAATCATTCATTGAGCCAAATAAATCTACTCTAATGAATAATTTCTTAACTGTTAACAAATGTTCATTCATTTTCTTTTTCAGATAACATATTTATTAGCTGCTAATAAATTATGTTAGTTAGAAAGAAATACTTCTATCAGTGTACGAACTATTTTTTTTGCGAAGCATGAGGTGATTACACAAAAAACTAAAACGTTCTAAAATATTTATTTATTAGAGTAAGGTCCAATGAATAGAAGAAATATTAAATTCTTTTAATAAAGATGTATGTTTTATTTATGATGATTACTTATTTATTTTTTGGGCTTAACTTTCTGTCTACTGGCATGCTTACTCAACTAAGGAGTATTTTCATCAAAAATCGATCTAATAAATTTTACACAGCAAATTTATAAGTGTATTACAGTAAATACACATACACGTGTTTAATGCTAAATACCATAAATCAATGATAAATTTTAGTACATTCCAAACTGTATCAAAAATGACTATAACACTCTAATAGTAAATACAATTGTATATTTTTTTTAGTGAAGGCGTCATAGTTAATGTATAGCAATTTAACATTAAACATACCTAAGATGTGTTATTTTAACTCACTTCAAATTTACAGTGTATTTATTAAAATAAGGATGCTTTATCATTTTGCCCTGTTTATATTTTAAAATTTATCTTATTAATTCTTCCAACTCATCTAGCGAAAGTTTCTTCCTCCTACCATTATTATTCGACATTGTTTCTGTTACAATCATACTCATCTTAGATAATATAATAAAGTTCTTATAAAATCCAATACATAATTCATAAGAAAAAAAATGAATTTCAGAAAGATATGGTATATTGAAGATTAGTAATATTAAAAAATATTATAGTTTAAATACAATTTGAGATACTTTCTTTCGCACATCCAATATTAAAACATACAGGAAGTAAAACCACACATGTTGGAGATCTAAGAGTAATGAAAATACTTTCTCTTGCATTCTCACTTGTTATACGACGTGAGATTATGTGATAAAAATTTTCATTTTTGAAAAATTAGAAAAATTTATTGATATCAATTTAAAATAATTTATATTTTTATCTCACGTTATATAACATATTATTTTCATTCAAAAAAACTTACACTGAAGCATGATAATAGTTCTCATTTTACTAACGGTGAAAGTTATCCGATATATCAACACCACTTGATTGAAAAAGAAAATTAGATATTCACAAAAAAACTATCACCACTTGAAAAGAAAAAAATTAGCTAAAATATAAACTTTTAGTCTTTAGAGGAAAAAAATACATCACAATGATAAATTATAAAAATATACTGTTAGAAACAAGCACTAAAATATTAACTTAAATTTGAATTTGAATTAAAATATCAAACACTCAAAGTAAACAGATCAACTAAATCTCATTGTTGCAAGGACTCAACAACACATTTGTTTTGTAAACAATGAAATAATCCATTTAAATCTGGACCAAATGTAAGAACATTATTGATACTGAGTTACAATCATTCTAAATGACACCTTGAAAACTCAACAATCATAAACAGTGAACGGTATATAAGTATCATCGAAAAGAAATGAGGTTTTATCCATGAAAGTATTTCAGGTACGTATTTAGTATTCCTAACCCCCCTTATGACTAAGTATAATTCTTGTATTTTTACACCATTCCTAATACCACATAACTGACTTTTTTATTTGAAATAATTATAATTGATATATTATTAACTAATTTTTATGAAATATTTTAAAGGTATCATTAATATTCATGACATTGACGTTCTTATTTATGAAATAGAAGAAAGTGTCAGACTTATGCATAAAAATACACAGAGCGTGTCCATATGAAACGCCCATTTGTTTTGCAAGGGATGAAGGAAAATCTTCTTGCTATTTATATTTTTTTTAAATGAAATGTGTTATTACAATAATAAGATTTTTTTAAATTTTATTATCACATTATTTCTATGTTAAATACAATAGAAAATATCTTTACATTTATTTATCGAAAGACATACAAGTCATGTCAACAGTCAACTAGACGTCCTTCTGTTGTCGAGGTCATAATACCTTATTATAGTAATGCTGATATTTTTTCTGTTGAGACAGAAATTTTAAATGAGATTAGTGGAAAACAAAACAAATCAATGGAGCAAAACTAAACATCATTTTGGTTTTTTAACTTAAATAATTGATTTATAATAGCTGATTAATTTCAATTGTTGAGAATTTTCTATTTTTTTATTCATTTAAATTGACAAAAACATTGTCAATCCTTGAATCAGAAGATAATCATATCATTTTAAGGATGTTGTGACAAATTTCGCCTACCAGTTTTCGTAGAATTTGGAGAGAAATCATACAAGAAATTGAATAACATGCTGTGTGATTCTTTGAGTAGTGCAAATGTACTTATATAATTTCTATTGATGTCATACATGATTCTTGAATTAACCATGGTTTCAAGTGAAAATCACATGAGAATGAAAAAATCAACAACAGTGATACTCTCGAGTTTTCTTAGAAGTTTTTATAATTGTTTGACATGATTTCATATTATTTTTACCAATTCGTCTTTAACATTGTCATTCTATGTATTTCTAGATATAGTACTCAACGAAAGGAGGTCATGTTGAATCAATCATAAATATGTTTCAATATTATTAAATTTTGGAGTAAAAGAATTTGACCTTTGCACAAATTTTAACTTTTGAACAATATTACTCCGTTGTAGAGAACTCTCTTATTATATTATAATGAATACAAACTCTTCATTACACTATATATTGTGTATATATTTTAAATTTTAAGACTAACTAAAGATAAATAATGGTGGATTCGAAAATTGAACTGTTCATTGTCATGAAGTAACACTCCTGTAAACACTGAATATTACTGTAAAAAAATTATTTTAATTTAAAGACGATGATATAGTGAAAAACCACAGAAAATCCAATTAAATTAGTAATGTATAATGAAAATAACTTTTTTCGGTTGTTTTAATAACCATGTTATGTAATTTTTTTTATATTTGTCCATTACAACAATAATATAACTGTTTTATTTGCGCCATATAATAGCAATATAAAAAAAAATAAATTGTTGAGTAGGAAATAGTAAAGTGCGTGTTAGCCCCAGAATGTATTACTGTAATGGAACATTTTTCATTACCACAATATAACAGTGTTAACTGGAACTGCACCTTTTACTAAAAAAAAAATAATATCAGGTAACATTTGAACCCTTGGGAATAAAATCTTCTACCCGGTAAAAAAATTTTTTAAATGATCGTGTATGGGAAATCGGTCTTATATAGTTCATTTATAAAACATATATGATCTTATATTAATTATATATGAGACGGCGAAATCAGTGAATATTTATTGATTTTGCAGTGTATTTTATTATTTTCACTGTTTCATTTTTAAAGAGTACGATTTTATATGGATTATATATGAAACATATAAGATCGTATACGTAACATAATGGCCAAAAAAATTACATATATGATCTTATAAATTTCATATAGAATCTATATAAGATCATATACGTTCTATGCATAAACCATATAAGGCCAATTTCCTACATAAAATTGCCTAAGAAAATTTTTTCCTGGGTATTTGTGGATCGCATGGTAGAAGAATTTCTCAGGTAGACAGGAATGATAACCACGATGATAAAATAATATTTTTTTAAATTTTCATCAAATTTTTATAAACATATATTTGAGAATAAAAAATTCATTAAATTTATAAATAATTTTTTGAGTAATAAGGGTGGAATTATTAAATTTTAAAAATGCTTAAATCGTTAATTCAATATAGGAGGATTTACTCCATTAGTGGGCACATTTTTTGTACAATGGGAAATTTTTAATTTTTCAACGTCAAAACATCCGCAATAACCGAGAGAAAAAATTTACCCAAAAGCGAAAATGCGCTGATTTTTTTTCCTATGATTTTTTCATATTTTAGTGATTTCACGTACAGTGGGACTCCTATAAATTCGACGACCTTTTCTTCGAATTCCGTTTAATTTCAATCCCCTTCCTAAGACTATCCGTCGCAAGAGGGGGAATCGAGAGAGACAGATAAAATATATTCTGTCTCTTTTTCTCTTAGGCAATTTGGTTATGGCAAACATAACCTCCAATGTTCAGAAACAAAATAATATTTTCTATATGAATGAATGAAATGTCAAGGATTTTTTTGAATTAAATAAGACAGAAATTTGTTTAGAACGAATTATGCAAATTTCTTTATTAAACCAAACAATAGTTAAATAATATATGAGTATAAAGAAATGAGGGGAATACTATAGAGTGGGGGAATCGCTCCGCCCAATAAACAAGGGGAAATCGAAATTACGGATTCGAAATTATAGGAGTCCCACTGTATCTAAGTGAGATAGCGTTATAGGCAGCGTCTTGTGCTAGTCGAAGTGGAAGAAATGTATTTCTTATGAAGTCTTTCTTTTCAAGTGACTAAATTTTTATGGAAAATATAAAATATTATTTGTTGGGCTTTTTTTTACTTACGATATAAATTTTTAATTATTATTGCTTACATTATTATGTATCTGTTACATAGAATTATTTTTTTTAAATGTCATGTGTATAAAAATGAGTGAGTTGGTCACGCTACAAGGAATAGTCGTAATGTCAATTTTTGTGCAATATTATTAAGCCTATATTACCGATGAGAAAATTTTTTTTTTATATTATCATTTGAATGTAATGAAAATGTTGAAATATTTATATAGCAATTACTAGTTAGTGTAAACACGTCATTGTTAACTATTTAATAAAAACTTAAAAATTAAGTTAAAAAAAAGTTATTACGTATGTATTAGGAAAGCAATGAAAGTGAAGCATAATAAAATACTGTCAGAATTTAATACACTTCTGATAATGGATGACAATAAACAGTACAACTCTAACTTAATTTCGAGATGATTCATCCAATGGAAACACTTTTTATTAATTAGACCAAGTGTCATTTCAAAAAAGTCTAGTTCTACGATTAGAAAGTACATTCTGTGTGTAAGAATTTGATGAAACAAAAAAAATTCTATATTGACAAGTTGATATATTGAACGAATGAAGTAATATTAAGTAAGTATTGAAAAATTTAAGTCAACCTTACTTCAAAATGTATAATAGACACAAGTTGTGCTCCAAAATGGATTACTCCAAAACCATGCTTTCTTTTTCTATCTCTTTATTATACAATAATTTTGTGATGTAAGTTATACAGCTACTTTTTTGACTTATTAGAAGTTGAATTTCGAGAAATTCTCTTTTCAATAAACGTTTACGTCATATAAGAAATCTATCTGCCAGATCACAAATTTTTAACTTTTGTGGTCTTAGAATTTGTGTGATAATTCATAATAGAAAATGATGATTTAATTAGTGATAATTCGATTTTATAAATACAGATTTCAATTTGGTATATATATATATATGTCAATACTTATGTTTTTTAGTCCTTGAAGGACTGACTTGCCAAGTTCTCACTATTTTATAATTATAAAATATTATTCTTACCTTTCAATTTATTTTCTCACACGTTATACAAATTTCGATCTCTTTTACACAACTTATTTATTAGACGTTCTCAAATCTATTCATATACAATAATATTCTACTTCAAACTCTCATTCAAACAATTGCTGCTAATATCGCCTGTAGAACTGGACTAAATGAATTACTCCAATATCTAATAATATTGGTAAATTATATTGCTCATTAATTAATTATCAATGAATCAAAGTTACAGACTAAGTTATTCATAATTTTATATATTATTCTAGAAAATGATTTAATTCACAACTTGTTAGATAAACAAGTTATACGTTCTTCTTAGTCATTGATTAAATTAGATTTACTTGAATCATGAAGGTGGAAACCACAACAAAACTGTCAGCAACAATTTAAATATATTACTTTGAAGCCCTTTTTTTTTATGTCAAACCACATCTTACATATTAGAAGAAAATTCATTAAGACAATTATATTAGTATAGTGATCTGTATACACCACAGATATCCAGTTGAAAAAATTGTAATGTTCCTATTCTTGTAAAATGATCTCAACATTTTTCTTAAAAGATTGTTGTGTTGAATTAAAATTTTCAGAAATCAAGTAAACTTGTTCAAAATGTAACATACAATAACTAATGACATTATAGCAATAGACAAATTCAGTCCAATAACTGTGTCAATTCGAAGAAGGAAGTTATAGGAAGATTATTTATCACTAAGATAATGTATGAATTTTCGTAAATTTACATCTTTTTATGATTATTATTCAAATAATATACCGTGACAATTTTGTACCGAATTTCCTTAAACCCCGGTAGAGTTTGCTGTGACTTTCACAGTGGGACTCTCCGTCTGAGAAGTTGTCAATGGCCCTGACAGATTGGTTAATGTCTCCCCCGTTATATTAGACAGCAAAATTAGATTTAAAGGTAAATTGAAAGGTACTTATCATTGTCTATATCTTCATTTCAAAGACTTATTTTTGCATTGTAAAGAGTGAATTTATGAGCTAGCTTTCCTTTTCTTTGTTT